TTTTTTTTTCTTTATTGATTTTGGAGAGAGAGGAAGTGAGAGGAAGAGAGAAATAGAAACATCAATGAGAGAGAACATCGATTGGCCACCTCCTGCATGCCCCCCAGTGGGGATCAGGCCCACAACCTCAGCATGTGTCCTGACTGGGAATTGAACCAGCGACCTCTTGGTGCAGGGGTCGACGCTCAAACACTGAGCCACACCGGCTGGACGAGCTGAGTCGTCTTATCTTCAATCACCCGTTTTACCTGAACAACCTGAGCGCTCCGCCGCCACTGTTCTCCTCCCACTGCATGACTGACCACAGGTCAAGGAGAAAGGAGGCAGGTGTCCTTTATCCAGTTTGATCTGAGCACCGATTGTCATAGAAGTAGTGAATTAATTAGAGATACCCAAATAATACTAAGAAGCACACAAAGTTTTTAAAAAATGAATTTCTACCTTTTCATGAGACAGGGGAGTGTGATTAGGGAGAATAAGCCACATGGAAAGGTGATTTCTTGTGAATTATTCTACTAAAAGTGTTACATGCCCCCATCTTGTACTTATCAAAATGTTAACCATCTGCAAATATGTTTTCCTCCAGCAGGAGACATGGACCATTTGGAAGACTGGAAATGGAACCATAGCAGAAGGGAAGTAAATCTAATGGGAAAAAACGACTTATATTAAAACAATGTTTCCCAAAGTATGATCTCCAGAACACCCGTTCCCCAGCACGCTGATGGGTCTTAACAAGGGTTTCATGGCAAATAATTCTGAGAAATTTGGGCTTCAACAGAGTCCTTAGTATGCTCTTAAACTACAGTACTGTGTGACATTAGACTTTGAATTGCAGCATTTCCCGTTGTTTAACCCAAGGAGTGTTTTCTCTGTGTCGATCTCACACCCCTGGTTTGTGAATTCCTTTGGGAATATGCACTGGACTAGAATGTCATTCACTTTCAATCAAAGATGGAGAACAGATAGGAAAGGGTGTCAAAGGAGAAAGAAAGTAGTAGATTGGATTCAAGCAGCAAATAGGATGACTGTTAGGAAGGTTTTGGCAAGTGTCATAACTCTCTTTCTCATGCAAAACATTAGTAATGCCACATATTAAAGTCTCGACCCATGGCAGTCCTACCGTGGGGTCGGAAGAGGGGCCATGCTGAACGCATCGCCAGTCCACACAGTCAGTGCCAGATTTCTCCCGCAATGCCGTAGCAGTGATGGCACTTCTGAGAACGAGAAACGGGACTCCAAAAAGTACAGTTTTTTACTTTTATTAAGACTTTTCCTGGTACACAGCCTGTACTAAGTTACATGGCTGTTTAGGCTCCTTATGACGAACAGGATCACAGACACACAGGGCACTTTACAGATGTCGGAGGAAGCCCGCCTTTAGTAGAAGCTGTAAGGTAAATGAATTATGAAACTCACGGCTAGATGAACTCCTCCCAAACACAGGCTTAGAGAAAAGTGGAGATGCACAGAGTGGTTTGTCTAGGGTAATGGTCTAGGGTAATGGTCTAGGGTAATAATACTAACTCATGTCCTGAAGAATATGCTTATTCCTCTTGGCTCAGCTCACACTTCAGGAGGTCTGTTTTCCTGGACTCCTTGGCACACTGGGCACAATACTTGCAGATGTGAGGGATTGGCACCATCAGTGCACCTGGATACATGTGCAACTCCATTCTCTCTTGCTGGGGACAAAACGCTTTGTGGAAAAATGAATAGTTTTTAGTTCCAGGACTGTGGCTCTTAGTCTCTTAGCATATGGGGGTGGAGGGTGGGACAAGCTTCATCCTAGAAGCAGCTCTTGGTTTTCAGGGGATGTTCAATTTTCTTCCTAAGGCATTCCAGCTGGGTTGACTTCAGGCATGGGGAGGTCAAGTGATTTACTCAAGCACCCCGTGAAATAGACCAGCTGGGACTTGAACTTGGGGACTCTGCTGGTACGCAGCCCTTGCCCTAGTCAGTCAAGCGCTCTGCTTCCAGGTTCAGCTGCCTCTTTGCACCACGCAGCCAGCAAGCTGTCTGGTGCAGCCTGTCCTCCGGCCGTCCCCGCTCGGGCTGGAATAAGAAGCGTGTTACAGGTCAAGTCTGACGTCTGGCAGCGCGGTGCAGGGCAGATTGCTCCCTGCCTGCTGAAAGCATACAGTGTCTGGCGAGCGCCGGATTGAAGATAGCTAAACTCGCATGCCAAGATTCCAAGGGAAAAACTTAGCTCACATTTTTCCCTTGCATGGTGATTTTTCTTCCCTTCCTTTTCTTTCCTTTTTTTTTGAAAAGGGAATCCCCATGTTTACACATTGAAATTCAGAATGCACAAGTGGTCAGTTCACAATCCTGTGATCCGGGAACATCTGTGGCTGGGTGTTCCTTGGGAATGAGCAGCGCCGGGCGCTGGGAGTCGAGCCTGCCGAGGCAGAAAGGAATTCTCAAGTGAGTGGAACGGTCCGTGAGCAGGAGGCCTGAGAACGCTCCGCTCCGGGCCTGGTGTTCCTCCGGCTCTGGTTTTCCAGGGGCACGTCTGCACTTGACTTCACCTAGTTTTATGAGCTCCATGTGACTTTATTTTGGGGGATGGGTCCATCTGAAATACCTTACAGGAAGTAGGACATGAATCTTCATTTTGCCTTTAAGAAAAATAAAATTCTGTAATCTGAGATGGGCAACTTGTTCCGATCTGTTTATCCAGAAACAAGACCTTTCTGTGTCCTTTCAGTAGAGTGAAAAATCTAGAATAAAACATATTTACTTTGACATCTGTCTCTGAGGACTGAAGCAACTGAAAACCAATAGGGCCTCCCTGTGGGGAAGGAGACCCCCCTCTGGGACACCAGTCCTAGGAGAGCCACAGGGAGAGGGGGTTTCAGTGTGGCAGGTGGTCCGGGGTGTGGCTGAATGTGCCTCATCATTGCCACTGTGGATTCTAGGACAGAGATGGACCCTGCCTTTATCAGCATTTTAAAGTTTTAATTTGGTACATACTCAAACGTTAATCGAACCCTCAACAGAAGCCAAGGGTGTCATGAGTTTTCACCTCCCGTCTGGATCTTGATTCTCTCATCTGTAAATGAGGGAATGGACCGGGTACCCGCTGAGCCCCATGCAGCTCGCGGGGTCTCTGATTTTAGCCCAGCTTCTCTCCTAGTCGGAGTTTCGTTCCTCTGCTCTAACTTTTCTGCTGTAATCTAGGCGTTACGGGCTGAATGGTGTCTTCTTAAATTCAAATGTGGGAACACAATTCATACTGAAATTCATATTGACGTCCCAACCCCCAGTACGTCAGAATGTGGCTATTGGAAGACAGAACCTTTAGGGGCAATCAAGTTAATGTGAGCTCTGCCGAGTGGGCCTTAGTGCAACAGGACTCGGGTCCTTACGCAAAGGGGAAATTTGGACACAGACAGGAGTGCACACAGAGAAGGGACCAGGGAAGGCAGAGGGAGCAGACGGCCGTGTGCAGGCCACGGAGAGGCCTCAGGGGAAGTCAGCCCCGCTGACCCCTTGGCCGCAGACTTCCAGCCTCCTGAACCGGGAGAAGATAAGGTTGTTGAAGCCACGCAGTCCGTGGAACTGGGCTGTGACAGTCCCAGCAAACTAGGGCGTGAAGTGCCATGTGTCTTTCTGAGAGGACTCTTAATCTTGCTTTTACTAAAATAGTCTTTCCTTTTGCAGGATATTCAAAATACTTTTGAAAAGATCGGTTTCTTTGTCATCAGATGTGAAGTAAATCATTTTCGTAAAATGAATCCTCTTTATTTTTTCTTGACGGGAACCTCACAGTTTTGATCCACAGGACAATTTTTCTCTATGGCCGTGGATCATCATTTTGCCTTTTAAGAAACACGGCCATGATCTATAAATTCATTTAAAGCCAAATAGCTTGCTGGATAAACTTGCAGGTAACAGGACAATTTCTAAAGAACTTCAGTCCAAACAAGAAACTCCAGAGGGGTGCACTCCAGGTGTCGTTTCGTACTTTTGCCTTTAAAGTTCACACAGGGTCAAATGTCAGGTTACAGACCGACAAAGTAAGTGATAAAGAAAGGTAACCACACCACAGAACTTACATGCATGTGTGTATAACCAATGGACACATACAGCAATGCTTGGGGGTGGGGGGGCGGATAGGGAGGAGGGTGTCTGGGGGGGAGGAGAAACAACTGTAACAAAAATAAATTAATTAGTAATAATAATAATAAAAAAGAAAGGTAACCATCTATCACTTTGGGTTTAAGAGTCTCAGATTCTCACTTGAAGTAAAGCACGTTATTACCAAAATGGATTTGTCTTCCTTTAGCACCAAGATTCCTAGTCTTTGCATCTACAAGTAGTCACGTGTAGTTGGATGTAGCTGGAATTCAGTATCTACAAAGCAGGGGCATTTCCTCTCTCTGTAAGTTTCCCTTGATGTATCAGTGAAGTTTCTCAGGGACAGCATTTTTGGATCAAAACAGCCCACTTGGGAGGTTAGGGTCATCCAGCTACATGCCTGAGCAAGAGATCAGCAGGTGGGCCACCCCTGCTTCTCCGTTGTCACGATGTGCTCAGAGGTTGACAGGTCCAGCGAGGCAGCCTGAGACCTCACCAACCAGCGGGCACAGCAATGAAGTCGGCCGCTGTCTAGTGATTTATACACACAGCGAGATGAACACGGGACTAGGTCAGTTTTTTAAGCTAACCTTTTTTGGTGTCATCTAATTATAAGAATGAGAGTTTGCAGATTTTCAAAAATACATCTTTCTAAAAAATGGCATCTTGAGGGAGAAAGCTTGTCCAATTAACAAGGCTGAGGACCGGCAGGCACTTTTATTCTAGGTATCCACAGATCGAAAAAATGTCAGCTTATTTATATTCCTTTGTGTACACGGGCAATGAATAACTTAAGGAACACTGCATCTCAAACACAGATTGCTTTTATTTCAGCTCAGCTCATGTCTCACTTTCATATATATTTTTCAGTTTCCATCAATGTCAAACACCATTTTTTTCATTCTTCATAAAAAAACAAAAAAAAAACAAAAAAAACCCAGATTTACAAGCACTTTTACGGCACTCAAGGAAAGTAGGCTGAAGGTTCATAATAATAATTTTCCTTTTAAAAAACATCCATCAGACCAAAATAAAATCATTTTAATTAACTCCTTCCTGAGTAACTAAAACCTTGGAATGTGCTGAAAGGTTATAATAAATAAGGCAGTCAAAGATCAACCAGCTTAAAATGTATTTTTTAAATTAAACTATGTAAAATGTACAATATATTTCATGAAGTACAAAGTGTGTTGGGCTCAGGGCCAAAGAGATGTTGTCATGTGTGCCAAATATACTGATGAATGCTGCAACTTTACGGACCTAAAGCTGTTTGTTGGGACAAAAGAACATTAGGGCCCCGCAAGGAAACCGGTCAGCCTCCCTGGCTGTGCTGTCATTATGACCACTGCTGACAACAGATGCCTTTGAACACACAGCGAGAAGCGCTCACGTGACTGCGCTCGGGATCCATTTGTCAAATGACCAATGTCCCGACGTTCTGACCAGAGCAGAGGGCTCTCAGCCAACTCGACTGGATCCTCAGATAGTGACACTGCACAGTGTGTAAACTCATTCTCATTCTCTATACGCGATTTCGTAGAAACGGCTCACAACATACCAGGTGGCAGTTCTTGTTCTTAATATAACTATTCTTCAGTTTGCTTTTTAAAGTATGTCTAATGGTAGGGCCCTGGTCTCTCTAAACAGGACAAAGGATACTTCCTCTTCTCTGAGAATTGGCCACAATTCTACATTCCCCTTAGTCGCTTCGCTGCCGCAGTTCTCTGAGGCCGCGAGGAGGCCCACAGGTGGCCAGACGCGGTGCCTCTGAGGTCCCAGCCTGCACTGGACTCCTTCGGGGTGGAGCCTTCTTAATACATCTCATGATAAAGTAGCTTTAGTGCATACTTGACAGGTTCCAAACGACTTGCTTTATATCTTGGCTACTGTCCAATTTTAGTGAACGAAGAAACAATTCTAGAGAGACTTGTTGGTTTCAGAAAAGTAGAAAATGTGTAGCTTGTGTAGAGTTAGAGTCTTATTTACTATTAGGCATTCCCAACTCACACTGTGCTAGTGCTCTTGAAGGGCTGGCTCCAGGGGAGAAAAAATGAAGGAGACAGAATCTGTGGCACGTATCCTGCCTGTCACCACCTGTACCCCCGTGTCTCAGTTGGTTGTATATTATCCACCCGGGAGAATATGGATTTTTCAGTGGGGGAGGGACAGTTAAAGATGAAAACATCTCAATCCAAAGCAATCGGTTTCTAATGATTGAACCCATGCGTCATGGATAGATGGCAGGCGATGGGAATGGGATGGGGAGGAGATATTTTGGACATGACACTGCCCGTCATCTACTCAGATCACTTTGGGGGCAGACACCTACTCATAAAGCTGGTCAAGCAGTCCCTTGCCCCGAAGTTCTTGCTGCTCCTCTTCTTGCTGTCCCAGTAACAGTTCTCAGCTGTGAGCTGCATCCATGAGAAATGGGACCATAGTTTCCCTGCTGCTTGCACAGAACTCAGTACCCCTTGTACCCAAAGCAGGTAACTCCTAAGGGACTAGAAGGGGAAAGATACCAGGTACTGTGGGACCCCACTGGCCAGGGGTGTGCCTGATAGTGTGCATTGCCTGTGGTCAGGCTTAGAACTTCTACCACAGGCTCAATGTCAGAGCTGAACGGTTCCCGGGGATGCGGTTAAAACAATGCCTGGGACAGAAATAGCTCATGGTGGGTGCAAAGGACAGGCCCGTCCCATTTCCTATGCCACATGACCTCCAGGGCTGATCTGTCTTGCCTACACTCTTCCTTACACAGCAAATAAATTCTTTCCCCTGCCATGCTGCTTTGAAATCTGTCAGAAGGGTGCATGGGATGTCTCAAAGCAGCCTGCCGTGCACTTTGACCTTGAAAGGTACTCAGGGCTGTGTTCTGGTGGGGGTGTGGCACGAGCTGACTTGCTCCTTCAGAGATAACAAGTGTGCTGCTCTTGGTGAATGTGTCCCCTGAGATGGAACAGAGGCAGAATCCTACCCATGTAGGTAGAGACCACTAATCCAGGGACATCCTCTCTTTTGACGTCCTGACCTGTCTTACCTTCTCCTCTTAGATCCTTCTGGAGTGGATTCCCTGGTCTCTGAAGTGGTTTTGTATTTCTACTGAAATATACAAGTCTGGATGTTTCCTACCACTGAGGTAATATTTTTACAAGTCATTTTACAAATGATAAGTTATTGGGCGATGGGCTATATGTCCCCCCTCATTGCACTGGGGGGAACAAGCTATTTCATGACGAGATGCCTTGTGATGGAGTCATCTTAGTGTACCTGGGAAGGACCCACGGAGCCAGGAAAAACACATAATAAAATTAAACAAATAAAACCCGCAAAACCGGGCATCTCCCAATGACCCCAACCTGTGGGAATGTTCTGTTCTTTTTAATGCAGCCGAGCATTAATTAGTCCCTTCAGGAGTTTTCTTCCCCAAACGAACACAATCTTTCTGGAAAAGGGAGATAAAGCCATGGAAAGAAACACAGGGCTGGCACCATCACCTCTTATAAATATCTTCGAGCCACTTCTCATCATCCTGTTCCTCGTCCCCGATGGGCTCCTCGGTTTCCAGGGGAGTGGGAATGAAGAAGCGGGGTCGCAGGGGGGCCTTGCCGACGTGCGACTTCAGTCCGAACTTGCGCTTCAGCAGGTGGAACTGCTCCTTGACGTAGTGGTAGAACTCGTACTCGTACCTCATTCGCTGGTAGAGGATCTGCACAGCCTCGGGGGAGGGCACAGTCTTCCTCACCGTCACAGTCATGTTTCCAAGTTTCCTATGCTCTGCAAAAGAACCGAGTTGCACGTGAGCGATTGTGGCTGCTGCTGGAGCTTAAAAGGAATAATGGCCAGGCCGCGTGTGACCTGCGTGGTACCCGAAGCTCCTGGGGCAAGGATCTCACCGGTCAAGATGTAGAAGGGAAGGTGCGTTCCCAACAGTATTTGGAAAGATTTCATCATAGCCTCGGTGTGTATATCGACATTAGTTGACTAAACATAAACGATCTAATACCCTTTCCGTGGGGCGTGAGCTATGCCATTTGACAATTCCGTTGTTCACGCTTAAGTTACACATTATTTGCACCGCAAAATCTACCTATTTTTCATCTTCTATTTTCTGTTATACATGTACAGGGTGTTGCTTTCAGAAGGAAACACAGGAAAAAAGTGATCTCACCACTTTCTAATCGTCATCTTGGTTTTTTACTTTAAAATAGTGACAGCTATGAATGAGACTTGAACTGGATGCAACATCCATTTGCATGTCACAGCTCCAGCAAGACGTCCGTCAAGAGAAATAAAGGACGGGCTGCCGGATTCCTTACATGCAATCTTAACTGTCATACGTTTTAAATGGCTATTTTTCATAGCGGTAAAATCTGTAACTAAAATTTGCTTAAATTTATATTGACGCTGAAAAACACATATGTTGTATATATGTGATATATATTTACATGAGAACATTTTAACCATTTTAAAGTGTCTATATTGGTGGCATTAGTTACCTTCATATTGCTGTGCAACGGTCTCCGCTACTGCCACCCTCCTTCCGTCACTCCACACAGAAACTCTGTGCCCGTTAAATGTTAACTCTTCCTACTTCTCATTCTGTCTATGAATCGGCCTCTTCTAGGTATGTCCTATAAGTGCAGTCACACATTTGCCCTTTTGAGTCTGTCTCATTTCACCTAACATAATGTTTTCAAGATTCCTCTGTGTTGCCCTGGCCGGTTTGGCTCAGTGATTGGAGTGTCAGCCTGCAGATCAGAGAGTCCTGGGTTCAGTTCCCACTAAGGGCATGTACCCCCCCCCAAAAAAAAAAATTCATCTGTGTTGTTGCATGCATCAGTACTCCATTCCTTTTTATGGCCCACTAATATTCCACTGTATGGATATACCACAAACTTTTTATCCATTTATCCATTGATGGACACTTTGGTTTTTTTCTACCCTTTGGTTATTGTGAAGAGTGGTGCTATGATACTTTGTGTGCAAGTATTTGTTTGAGTCCCTATTTTCAATCCTTTTGGGGATATACCTACGAGTGGAGTTGGTGGTTCATATGGTAATTCTGTTTAACTTTTTGAGGGACTATTAAACTGTTTTTCTCAGTGGCTGAACCACTTTAATCATTGTATGAAGATTCCAATTTCTCAAAATCTTTTTCTACAATAGTTATTTTTCATTAAAAAAATTATAGTCATTTTAGTAAGTGTGAAGTGATATTTATCTCATTGTAGTTTTGATTTTAATTTCACTAATGACTAATGGTGCAGAGCATCTTTTCATGTGCTTGTTGGCCATTTGTATATCTTCTTTGGAGAAATGTCTATTCAAGTTCTTTGCCTATTTTTGAACTGCTTTGTTCAATTTTTGTTGTTGTTGAGTTGTAGAAGTTCTTTATATATTCTGGAAGTCTACACATATATCAGGTATATGATTTGCAAATACTTTCTCCCATTTTGTAGGCTGTCTTTTTACTCTGTTGATAGTTTTCTTTGATGCACAAAAGTTTTAAATTTTAATTAAGGCCAATTAATCTACTTTTTCTTTTGTTACCTATACTTTGGTGTTATATTTAAGGAACCATTGCAAAACTGAAGCAGAAGTAGATTTGCCATAATATTTTCTTTTATCACCTTATTTTATTTAAAACTTTTGTCACCATATCTGATAAGTACATTATTTACTGATTATGGTTCCAAATGCCTGTTTCCAAAATCAGATTCATGCAACAGGACAAAAATTTGTAATTTTTAAGGGTATCTGAGATACTTTCTGAATCTTCCAATAGAAGTTCTAAAGAAGGAATTTGAAAAAGTTCTCTGAGTAGTAGTGGCCTCATTGAAATAAAGATATTGCTTTTCAAATGGAGTCTCCTAAAAGGTATAATACACATCTGGATATATTGGTTCTGGAATTTTTGTTAACGAACTTGGCACAGTTTTTCCTAAAATAGGTTTATGATAGAACATTTTTTTATAATGTGTATTTTCTCTACACATATTAATTATAGCTAATCTGAGGGAAGACATGTTAATAGGCTTTAAATATAAGTACCCCTTTTGTGTCTTTAAAACCTAGAGTTTAAAAACAACATTAAAGACAGACAAGGCACAAAAAGTTTCAAGTTAAGCATTGAGAGGCACAAAAAAATAATTTACTCATTTCCATATTTCTATAATTCTTCTTGGAGCACTCTAAATTGTGTGTGTGTGTGTGTGTGTGTATTTCTCACACTAGAAAAAAAAAGGATTTCTGTGATTTTAAAATAAATTCTTTAGTTAAATAATTTGACTCAACCTATTCCAAAAAGTATATAAAGTATATAAAGAACTTATATACTTTTTCCATAAAAAAAAATTATAGCCAAAATATTATGCTGCAATTTGCTAAAAAGTTAAGGAAACTGGGCAATAGGAGAATGAAGGTAGGAAATAAATGGAGACGTCGTGTTGGGGTCATTGTTCCTCCTTCCCGTGAGGGAGGAAAGGAAGGATGTCCCCAGAGCAGTGTTCCTGCCTCTTGCTCCAGCCCCTCTCAGGGAGGCTCATGGGGAACTAGGGCCCGAGGGTCTTTCTGATTGTGCATTTGGGATAAGGGCTGAGATGCTGTCCTGGAGAGAGTGTGCCCGTTCGCAGAGCGATCCCATCCTCCGGCCCCGGAGGGCAAAGGCTTCCAGACACGCTTGTGACTCGCTGGGCAAGTTGTGTAACTCGGGGTGGGGTAGTATCGGCCCCTTTCTCCTCACACCTAACTGCCCTCTCCCACCTAGCTTTAATTGGTAAGAAAGCTGACATTTGATCTCCATCTGTCTGTCTCCAGTGTCTATTTCTCAGTTAGTTTAGAACCCAGGCATGGGAAAATGGGTGTAATTATTCCTTCAAACTCCAATATCGAGTAACACAGAACGCATGTTGTAAAGTCCTAACTACTTATGCAGGAGGTAGGTCGAGAATCTGGCTCTAAACTTTCTAGCAGCCAACAGAGACTTTCACATTGTACATGGCTCTTCATGTAAAACAATCTACATCTATTCCTAGTTATAAAACCATAGAGAAATACCTTCCATGAATTTTCATAAGAAAAAACTATAATGGAATTAGCAACATTGTAATAACATCCTCAGGGTAAATTTAGCCGTGAGTTTCATGGCTGACAAGAGAAAATGCCTAGGTACTCTATTCTGGCTTGATCAGGGAATACACTACAGAAAATCCAGAGGAGAGGTTCTGAACCCCTGAAAACCTGGCTAAAGTTCATGTCAGGAAGGCAGAGGGTCTATGGACTTCTGGAAGCCCATTTATGAATATTTTAGGCATTTTTGGATCTGTTAAGAATCCCTGAGTTTGAGAAGCCAACAAAATGAATATCCTTGAACAATCTTTCATGTATTTCATTTATTTTAATAAATATTAGCCTCCACTATAATTGAAAAACACTGGAGTTAGTTATTTTATGTGCCAGTCAGGTGCATAGTCATGAGCATTGAAACAGCAAAGAGGGGAGGGCCTGGGTTTACATGTCTTGAAAGAGGGGTTTACCAGTGCCTGGAACTTAAGCAGAAGGCCACCCTACCTTGTTTTGGAGAAAGACCTGAGAGCGTAAGCATAGGGGAGCCAAATCTTAGTAAAGAAGTAATTTGGGATCTGCTCTATTGCTTCCAAGTTTTTTAAAGGTTGATACTATTTCCCTAAAAATAATTCATAGCAAGTGTAATCACTGACAAAACCATCCATTGAATTTTTAACCTAGAGCAAGATATCTTGCTAGATGAGACTATAAGGTAATTTGGATGCAAAATGTTGGTATACATAAGGGATTGAGGTGACTTGTTGTAAAGTGTTATTAACATCAAGCCAGTAAAATTCAGGGAAGATTTAAAAACTGATAGCATGATGGATTTATATGTTTCCCTCTTTAATTATGGATTATGTAACTGGTTTAATTGCTATAAAGTTAATCCTAGTCCATCACAGTAAAGCTCTCTTTCCCTGTGTGTTTTTCTCTGTGGCTGAGGATGAAAGAGTTGATGGGTGGGCAGAGCAGGTAACTAACAAAAGTAATAATGTCATTCAAGCACAGCTGAAAAGAACCAGGATATATTTACATCATCAGTTAACTGATCTGTCAAGAGATGGTGAGTGGTCCCAGCTGAGCCTGATCCCTCGCGGTATATTTTCATAGTAACAGTTATATTTAGTGAGGACTAAGGTATACCAAACACTAAACTAAGCACTTATGCACATAAATTGTATTTAATCCTCACAATAACCCCTCAGTGGAAAAGCCACATTATAGATGAAGAAACTGAGGCTGAGCAAGACTCCTGACTTGTTCAAGGTCAAGTAGCTAGAAAGAGGCAAAAGCAGAAGGATCTGGGTGATAATCAGTTACTGTGTTTTAGCTATGTTGCTGCTAGTTGCAGGAAGGTCAACAAACTTATCCTTGTTCTGCTCATATTTCTCCACAAGCAATGGAGTCTGATGCCGGCCAACAGCTCAACTAGAGCCGCCTCCTCCTCATGTGGACGGGGAAGCCCAGAACCGTAGTAGATCTTACAGGAGACAAGCAAGCATTTTAGAGGAAATGGCTAATGCGTTTATAACATGGAGGGAGAATAAGGTTGACTTAGAAAATGAAATTGAACTAGGCTATGTCTGAGTCCAATCAGGAGGCCGATACCCACAGAGTAAGTGATGGAGACCAACACCGCCATCAGGATTTGGAGTTTCTCAATTCCAGGAAACCCTTCCTTGGGTGCTTATTTAGTTTGAACTAGT